GGTTTCCTGTTTGTAAGACCGGTGGCTGCTATGTCTCTTATTCCCCCAGCCACTTTTCTTGACACATCCCTTTGGTAGTTCTTTCTCCAGGAGGCAGTGATGTCATTCAGCCCCACTTGCAGTGGTGGGTGGACCAGGACTCTCAGACACATTCAACATGTACAGGCCTAGTGTACAAACACATATTCACTACAATTCCCTGTGGTTGATGGGAACTGTACCTTCCTTTTACTGTAGAGATAGAGGGGAGGATATGATGTATTCCCTGCTGTTACACCCCCTCTTTGGCAGAGCAGATGCTGTTATCTTTTGAATTACAGAGATGAGGTCATGAAAAATCAATTAGACTTTTCTCCTAAATGGTAAGAATTTTCAAAATGTTATTATCAGTTTAGTGTTTTGTGTAGGGAGGGTGTACTAATGGGTGATTTTTTGCCTATCCCAGAGTGTTTAGTGTTATATGCTGGTTGCAGTAGTTCTTCTAAGGCGCTTCTAAGTGCAACAGTAAAGGGAGTTTATTCGGACACAAAGTTAAAATCACTTACAGAAGATCGTAGAATACAAGCTCATCAATAATCAAGCTCCAGTCAGTGCCACTTATTTGTTATTGATAAGCTGTTGTTCTTTTCCCTGTCAGAGTCTGCTTTCACTCATTGAAGAGCAGTTCTAGTGCCCTCTTGGCTCATGCATATCTCCCTTTTCCATATAGTGACCAAGAGTATTTGCATCCTAGAGGTCCAGGTCATACAGAAGCTCCCTATGAACCTTTTCTCAATTACTTTGTTTATAATACTAATTCATTTCCAAGGATGAAAATCCCCTCTGTTCACAGAGGCCCTGTACTGGATGAAGGCACTGCCAGCTTTATTATCAAACTCACTTTCTTACTTAGCGAAGCTTCTGGCTCTCTTATTTACTGACAAGTTTAGCACATATCCTGTTTTGAGAGGAACAATTCTCAACTCTCCCCAAAAAAGAAGGCTACATACGTAACAATTTCTATTTGTTTTTTAAAGTTATAGTTTGTGAATGATAACATGTAACAAATGTAAAGTAGGTGTTATCCCAATTTTCCTGCAAAAGTGAAAATACACTTTAACCACTAGCCTACAGGGAACTTATACCCCCTTCCTGCCCAGGCCAATTTCCAGCATTCAGCGCTGTCACACTTTGAATGACAATTGCGTGGTCATGCAACACTGTACCCATATGAATTTTTTATCATTTTTTTGTGACAGATAGAGCTTTATTTTGGTGGTATTTAATCACCTCTGGGTTTTTTAAACAAACCAAAAACCACAGAAAATTTAAAAAAAAAAAACTTTTTTCTTAGTTTTTGTTATAAAATTTTGTAAATAAGTGATTTTTCTCCTTCACTGATGTGCGCTAATGAGGCTGTAGTGATGGGCACTGATAGGCTGCACTGATGGACACTGATAGGTGGCACTGATGAGGAGGCACTGGTAGGTGCCACTGATGGGCATTGACAGGCATCACTGATGGGCACTGAAAGGCAGCACTCATATATGGCACTGATAGGTGGCACTGACAGGCGGCACTGACTGGCACTGATTGGCAGCACTGACTGGCACTGTTAGGTGGCACTGATAGGCAGCACTGACGGGCACTGATAGGCGGCACTGGTGCCCACTGATAGGTGGCACTGACTGGCACTGACAGGTGGCACTGACTGGCACTGATTGGCAGCACTGATAGGTGGCACTGACTGGCATTGATTGGTGGCACTGACTGGCACTGATGGGTGACACTGAAAGGCAGCTCAGCTGGGCACTGATATGTGGCATTGATGTGCACTGGTAGGCACTGAAATGTGGCACTGATGGGCACTGGCAGGTGGCATGGATGAGCACTGACAGCTGGCACTGATGGACACTGACAGGTGGCACTACTGGGGCTACACAGATCATCAGGGCACACTGATCATCAGTGCTCTGATGACCAATGTACATGTCCCCTCCAAGGAATGCTGATTACCGGCTCTCCTCTCCTCTCGAGCTGTCAGTGTGACAGCTCGTGAGGAGAGAAATGCTGATAACCGGCATTTCCCTGTTTACATGTGATCAGCTGTGATTGGACACAGCTGATCACATGACAGAGCTGACATCTTCGGCTCTTTCCGTTGATCTGTGATCTGCTGTGTCCGAGGGACACCGCCAATCGCCGTGCTGCTTGCTCTTGGAGCCACGCATGCGCAGTTAGAATGGGAGGACGTCATATGATGTCCTCCCAGAACAAGAGAACCACCTTGCGCCCAGTCATTGTACTATATGGCAGGCGGAAGGCAGTTAAAGTCCATTTAAAATGACATGTCTGTCCAAAACTGCCCTGTCTCTATTTTGTTTGTGTCTAGTTCCACTTATTTCTTCAGACATACATGTTAAAAGTATTGGTACATGACCTAGAAGAATAGAGGCATGTCAAGGAGGGCTCATAGGTATTGAGGGATGAAGAGAACACTTTTTTGATGAAGAGGAAGCATCCCTGGGGAAACCACCACAAATGCCCACATTCAGCACAATTACCCTGTGTGCATTGCTGGTAATTCCATCCCTACCTTGCCAATAATGTTTCTTTGTCTACACACACTCACGGCCACTTTATTAGGTACACCCGTTCAATTGCTTGGTAACATAAATTGCTAATCAGCCAATCACATGGCAGCAACTCAATGCATTTAGACATCTAGGCGTGGTTAAGGTGACTTGCTGAAGTTCAAACCGAGCATCACAATGGGGAATAAAGAGGATTTAAGTGACTATGAACATGGCATGATTGTTGGTGCCAGATGGGCTGGTCTGAGTATTTCAAAAACTGCCGATCTACTGGGATTTTCACGCAAAACCATCTCTAAGGTTTACAGAGAATGTTCCAAAAAAGAGAAATATCCAGTGAGCAGCAGTTGTGTGGACAAAAATGCCTTGTTGATGTCAGAGGTCAGAGGAGAATGAACAGACTGGTTCAAGTTGAAGAAAGGCAACAGTAACTCATGTCAATATGGACATGAGGAATGTTTCCAACACCTTGTTGTATCTATGCCAGGAAGAATTAAGATAGATTTAAGGCAAAAAGGGGTCCAACCCGGCACTAGCAAGGTGTACCTATTAAAGTGGCCAGTGAATGTATACAGTATATCACATGTAGCTCTACCCCCACAGGAACCGCTTGATAATTTGGGTTCTCGGTTCTGCGCCTCAACTCCAAGAACAACCTCAGCCCCTCTGGAACACCTGGTTGAGTAAAGTTACTGCATGCATTTATAGGAATGAAAGTATGGATACATTTAACTCCACTGTGAATTAGTATCAGGAAATGAAACAAGACCGTTTAGTGGTAAATGAACTCAATGTATTGGTATGGGTTAGAGTAAATAGTGGTTTGAGCATAAATGAGCACACAGGAGAAAGATTCAGACACAGTCTGATAAAGAATGTAATCTCTAGGCCAAAGTATTTTAGGTTAGAGTTATGTACCACTAGACTGGAATTCAACTCATAAATCAGCAAGATTAGCAATAAGCAGTGCATATAAGTATTAACTTAAGGGACAGTTTCTAGTCCTAACTCTTTGGCCCGCTAGCCTTGGGAACCGTTGTATCGTTGATGCACATAAGAATAATCCCAGCCAAGCCTGCAGGCAGCAATAAGGCTGCTAGATGGCTGTATGGTCAGTTCCTAAAGGGCTCAGTCTCTCTCTCTAGTAGCAGATAGTAAATCCACAGAGCAGCAGCTCACCAGTCCCAGCAAACTGCAGCTCACCATCTGGTCACACACAGCAATTAGTCCACTCTCTTCACCCAGGTGACTCTGGCTGTTGGCACTCCCGTAATCATCCCTCTAGATCCTGCTCAGGCTGCCGACATCCAGCAATGGTGGTGATCACTGGACTGTGATGTCCACTCTCTGGTCTCTCTCATAGCAAAAGGAAGCTGTGTCCTGTACAGCCTGAGAAAATGCAGCTCTTTCCTCTCCTCCTGGCAATCTCTATGGGAAATGCAGTTCAAAGCTTTTGATCACAGTAGAGTCTCTCTCTCTGGACTACAGTTCCCAGACTCAGTCTATTGAATTCTTCCTGCTCAGCAGATCCCTCATCTTGCAGATATAGCTGTTAACCAGATCACCACCACAGGGCAGCAGCTGCAGCTAGTGCTTTTCACACTCTCTATTCTAAGCTTAGAACCTGGCTACAGAAACTTATAGCACATGCATTAAAGCTGAACTCCAGGAATTCAGCTACTTTGATAAATGTGCAGGCATACTATGGGTTAAGTTCAACAAGGTACATGCCACCTAATGAAATTATCTCTTTCATTTACATCGGACAGGTTTATGGAGCTCTGAAAGGATAGCTACTGTATCATTAAATTTCTAGAGCTTTGACACTGGACCTTCTAGTCCCAGCTCCAGGTGTAGAGTCGCATGCATATGCTGTGCCTGTCCCTCCCCTCCTCCTGTCCAATCACAGAGCTTTTTGTATTAAGTGAACTCAGTCACATAATGTAAAGGCTTCTGTGCATGAACAACAGTGGGCAAGGGTGGGCAGAGATGCTGTGTGTGAGAACAATGTTTCTCAGACCCCAGAGTGTAGCAATAGCTGTACTTCCAGAGCTCCATAAAACTGTTAGATGTAAAGTAAATAGATAAGTCCAGGAGGTGGCATGAACCTTATAATAACAATATGCGTACACATTTTACAAAGTGACTGAATTCCTGGAGTTTAGCTTTAAGCCACATTAAGCAGATTAGCATGCAGAATTACCTTGTACCCCCTCCAATAAGCACAAATAATGGATGCTGCCTCTCCCTGGCGGGTTTGGAATTTCATGCGCCTCAGCAAAACACGAGCCTAAAACCAAATTAACAGTAATCAAATGTGTAAGCTATAAATCAATCTCACATTATATTATTATTCTAAACTCATTCAGAGTGCCTGCTAAATAATTATACATTGATTATAAATGTTCTGCACCATTTTATCGTTGCATGTGAGAAGGTCTCTTACCTGCCAGCCTCGGATGTAGGCTTGTATAAGTAAAGCAGAGTACCGCATCTTTTGATACTTTTGCCGTTGCTACAATTAAAATGGAGAAATACTTAAAACAATACATTAATAGACATGACTGTAGCAAACGCGCACTCAGAGATGGATGCGAACCTCCATTTTGGCAAAGGCCTCCATCTTCTATCATTTTCTACTCCCAAATCAGCTTTCCACATCCCCCCTCCCTCTCTGTTGAGTGACATGTGGCCTGTTTGATGCAGAGTTCAAAAAGACATCAAGGCCCAGCAGGGAGAGCTCATGGCTATAAATCCCATTTAGCCTGGCCCCCAGATGTCTGCGAGACTCTGCTTGTAAAAGGATCGTAAAGCCATAAACCAAGCCCTCACTGAACTTCAAAAGACATTCCAGCTAGTTGTGAAACAGACTTACCCAGTTTTTCCATATAATTTTATATCTCCAAATAGGAAATAATTACACAAACAGGGAGCACATATTCAGATGGTTCACTTTAATACAAATCGCCTGATATATTACACCCCCTAGCTGACAGCTCCAGGAGAGCAGAAAATGACATCTCCTTAACCGTCCTAGCAGGTATGTCATATTTCATATCTAGACGTTCAGCAGATGATTCTGCGTATTAATCTACCCATGGGTGGAATGTTACATGTACCTAGGAAAAGTTATTGGCCATAGTATAATTTGTGAAGGCTTTGGTCAGAGCCTGAGCTCCCCACCTACAACTCCCTCCCCAAATGAGGCGATTGGTCTCTCGGCTTCAGGGAGACACCCTGCTGAGATCCTAGAAAAAGGCTGTTATGCTTGTAGTTAAGCTAAGCTGAGTTGAGCTAAGCTGAAGAAATCTCCCTTTTAACATCAGGAACCAACTTTGGGAGATAAGCGCGCCCTCCTGCTCTGAAACTTGAAAGCTGCTTAAACCAAGGCTTTTGGCGATAGTACTTTATCTATGTAAATTTCTTTCTTTTATTTCTTTGTACTTTTATCTATGTAAATTTCTTTTCTTTTATTTCTTTGCTGTGTGTTATTGCTCTCTGTATATTTATATATATATATATATATATATATATATCTTGGCTACATCTTTTCTGTAAATATTTTTATTGCACCCTTTTGACCTTTTAGTAATAAATCTTACTTTCTGAAAGTGTTGAACTGTTTCTAAAGCTCTTTAATGCAAACTAAGAACCCGTGCCTCTGAAGAGCGCTACTGTGTGTGTGTTTTAAACTTCGGTATATCTCAGTGGTATACCGACGCTTATGCAAACATCATAGTGTTATTGCTGATATTGCCGAGTTTCCTCTTTCTCTGTACAGAAAGGAGGTGGTGGCAGTGTGAAGGGTTAATTGCGTAATTAACCTGACCCAGTAACAATCGCTCCCAGGCTGCAAGTACACAGATTGTTGTCCATTACCTGGAAAATCTTTGTGCAGGGTGTAGCTGGTTGTGGCATTGTTACGCACGTGACAGCACGGTTTTAGATTGGCTAGTCCTTTGGTCACAAGTTTGGGGAGAAGGGCTGGGGTCTGATGCCACAATCATCAAAATGACTATTTAGTGTGCCCAGGCCCATATTTAACATAGGCCCCCATGAGACTGCTACTGGTTACTTAGGACAAAAACATATTTAGAATTTGTTTTGTCTAGTTATTTATGGGTATGTGACTAAGCACTGGGACAGAGATGGATAATTTGGGGTTTTGAGGTTGTTTAGAAAGGTCTCTTGCAGTTTTTGCCAATGGGACTAGGCCTCTGTAATAAGGAAGCCTTATCACTCTGTACCACTGGCTGTAGCAACATTTACTTTTCCAAAGTGCACTGAGATGCTGGTCAGCAGATGCAAGCTGTGCTGGAGGGTGATCTGGGTTGACAATGTGCAAAGGGTTGCTCCCCTTTCTGCTTGCTCATGTGACACATGGGGGAACATGTGCAGGGGACACATGGGAGAACATCATTGCACTGAGCCCCAAATTGGTGCTTTCTACTGGCAGGAAATGGCACTTGATCCAAATGATTTCACTGTCTCTTTAAATAATTACTTGGAAATAGTCCTGTGATTGGTAACTTTGTATCAGAAACACAGGCAATTCAAATTAGTCAGAGGATAAAGAAAAAATAAAAGCAGGGGTTACGTTTAATGGACACTGTGGGGTGGTTTATTAAAGGCAAAAAAGCTGTTCACAGTGGTTGTAAAAGCTGAAGTTTTTTTTACCTTCATACATTCTATGTATGAAGATAAAAAACCTTCTGTGTGCTGCTCCCCCCACAGTACCCTCTAATACTTCCTTGAGCCTCCGCTTGAACCAGCGATGTGCACAGGAGCCTCAGATGTCCCAAGTCTCTTTCTCCTCATTGGCTGAGACACAGCAGTGGGAACCACTGGCTCCCACTACTGTCAATCACAGCCAGTGAGGAGAGCAGGGGACAGGGGCGAGCTGTGGCTCTCTTATCGATGCTCAGAGAGGGGCTCGGGAGTAAGCACACACCAATGTCCCCATAACTAATTGGCTTGCTATTGGGGGTACTGCTGAGGGTGGAGGGGCCATAATCACTGGCGGGGGACCCAAGAGAAGGAGGATCGGGGCTGCTTTTTGCAAAACCATTGCACAGAGCAGGTAAGTATAGCATGTTTGTTATTTAAAAAAAACCAAAAAACTTTTAATATCACTTCAAGGAATATGGTGAATATCTGAAGAATTCCATTATCCAATCATGTTCAAGCAAATATACTGTGTTTTTTTTTTGTTTTCCTCATATGTGATTGGGAATTCTTTGCAAAGTGGATTTCCATCAGATTCATTAAGCTAAGGGAACCTTCCCTTGCAAAGTGAACAGCCTATTTGCCTTTAAATCAACCACACAGTGTCCACTCAAGGTAACCCCTGCTTGGGCTATCTATATAACTTGGTCTACTAATGGTTCTGATAACCTCTGTGCATCATTTAACCAGTTTGAATTACCCAGGATTGTGAATTATTTTACTGATATCACTACTTTATGCCTTTAAAGTACAACTCTAGATTCAGCCCTTCTCCTCCTGGAAGACCCCAACAATGTATATTTTGCTTTGTTGTTTTATATTTACCTTTTTCAGAAGCCTTTTGGCTAGTCATGTGATACGCTGTGTCACATTCCTCTTAGCCTATTCTCTGTCCCAGAGTAGTCCTCTACTGAAGTGCAGAATGGCACTGACATCAGCATCACTCTCTGATTCACTACAATATGAATGACCAGCATCGTGGTGACATCCCCTTAGGGAAGCAGGGCCAGAATGACTATTCATTCACAATATGTCCTCAGTCTTCTAGGATGAATGAAATTGAACAAATATTGTGGCAAAAAAGAAGTACTGCAAGGGAAGTTGTAGAACTAGAGGTGAATATTGCAGCCTGAGCTGCTTTTTTATTTTACACCATGCCTAAAGACCCATTTTAAATACATAAATAATTGTCTGGAGTTGGGGTTAAAGTGATATTAAAACCCAAAAGCAAGCTTGTATTATATTGCAGCTTACCAATTCTTAAATGTGATGGCTGCATTAATTTCATTTTTTAGGGCTCGTTCACACTTGACTGTTTTACCAACTCTTGCCAAACGCCCCTATAGCATTTGGCAAGCGTTGGTCCGGCGTTTGCGGAGCGTTTTTTAACGCTCGGCAAATGCTCCGCAAACGACACATGCGCGGTTCAGCGGCGTTGCTAGGCGTTTGCCGAGCGTTAAAAACGCCCTAAAAACACCTGTAATGAAGTTTTTGAATGGTGTTACCGCTCCGCAAATGCCCCGCAACCGCGTCGCAACCGCACCGCAAATGCCGGCCGGGCGTTTGCGGAGCAGCACCATAGACTAGAATAGGAGGCCTCAACGCCTCCTGACACGACCAGAGTCTAATGATGCTAATGCTCCCGTTAGAACAGCACCATGTGCTGCAATGTGCAGAATTGTCCAAGGCGTTTGGGAAGCAGTAAAAACGCTTCCCAAATGCCTTTCTGCCGCCTGCACACAACGCTAGTGTGAACGTAGCCTAAGGCTTTCTTTATTCTATCTTTCATCTGGTGATCTGGCCAGTAAGTCCATTGCTTTTCAAAAGCACAAGTTCTCCAGCAGAATGTATTAGTTTACATGGATGAGACAAACCATTTACCACTGGCAGGGATGCTTGAAATGATCAGCTTGTTTTTATTTATGTAAAACCTTCATCCCAAAAGGAAAAAAAGTTTGCTGTAACTGAATATAAAGTATGAGCTGGATTTTGGCTTCAATTTGTTAGTGTATTTAATTCTGTTAATAGATTTAACACTCCCAGCTCTCCCACCACAGACTGACAATGCTCCTGTCCAAAGGTGCCACCTTGTGCTCATTCAGAGTGGGAGCACTCTAATACTGGAGGTGTGTTATTGGTCAGATCACCAGGTGTAATCAGAGGGGAAAAAAGCCAAAGAAAAGAAAACTAATGCAGCCACCATATCTAAGGATTGGTAAGCTGCAGTATATTACATTTTTGGGTTTGGGTTTAATAATGCTTTAAAGTTTTTCATATTCATTTGTCTATCTGCCTAGAGACAAACATCATGAATGATAAAGAAACATTCATGCAATTGTTCTAAACTGGATTCGATCTGCAGTGCTCTATATTGGTTTATGGAGAAAAATCAATCAATCAAATACTACCCCTTTATAACCTCTTGAAGCTAAGGGGTGCCCGAGGAAGTTTTATAAGATCTGGGGCCCTTGGTTAGATACTCGATACCAACGATTCTTTGCTTTCAATGATTTCCGATTCAGTTGGCTAATACCTTGATATGCTTTTTACCCCTTTTTATTATATTTGTGTTATGGGACCATTATATAATCTCTAGCCACTATGCTGTGTGGGGAAATTGTAACCACAGTTTCTATTTTCAGTGCTCAAATAGTGTACACTGATGTAACTGTGATCATGAAGGATTAGGTCTTCACTGGTTGATGTTCTGTGAGGATTTACCATACTGTTATGGAAAAGCTAGTCTTTTCCCAATGTTTTGTTTGCTTTTGTTTATAAGTTTCTATTTGTATGATGCTTGACATTTGTTTAACTGTATATTCACTTGGGTCCATTGAATGCTCGAAGACTTCTTTCCAGAAACCACATTATATATACTGTTTCTTGTATAGAATACTAATTGTCTATATACTTACACTTAATGTAATGCCTTCCTACTTGTATGCTCATTTGTGATATACTCTCAATAAGGCTCCATTCACATATATGCAATTTGCGTTTGATACTTTCTCCAGTGCTTTTTGCAGTTTGTTTTGTGTTTTTCTACACGCGTTTTTACCGCATTTTGCTCAGCTCTTTTTTTCTTAAAGTGGATTTTTTTTTTTTTCGTTGCTGGACAAAATAAAAATGCAAAACACAGCAAAAATGCACTACCATGGATTTCAGCAGCTTCTCCATTGAACTCTATTGTAGCAAAAACACTGCTTTTTGCTTTTAACAAAGTCCCTCACCCTTTCCAAAAATGCAGCAGCTCAAAAAAGCATAGATGTGAACATGTTCCATAGAAAACATGTTAAATGGACTGTAGTGCGTTTCTGCAAAAAGCACTAAAAAACGCATTGGTGTGAACGTAGCCTAAACCTAGCTTAAAAGAAACATACATGATTTCCCCGGTAGAATGCTGAAATGAGGATCTGGCTCTTGCGCATGAGTAAAAATAGTTTCCGCTGCCTCCAACCACGGTATATTCTCTGTATTAGGGCGGCCAATTCATTCAGCTTCTGCCTGCGTAGCTCTTCCAAGTCAAACAGCTGAAAATAAATTATCCAATTAGCTCATTTTTTTCTAAATATACTGTATCAATCATTTCTAATGCAATTGTTTATAAAACATAAAGCTAAATTCCAGGTATTACATTTTGTTACATTGGCCCAGCTTGGACCAATGTAACTATGTACACTATATTGCCAAAAGTATTGGGACACCTCTACAAATCATTGAATTCAGGTGTTCCAATCACCTCCATGGCCATAGGTGTAAAAAGCAAGCACCTAGGCAAGCAGACTGCTTCTACAAACATTTGTGAAAGAATGGGTTCCTCTCAGGAGCTCCGTGAATTCAAGCGTGGTACCGTGATAGGTTGCCACCTGTGCAATAAGTCCATCCGTTAAATTTCCTTGCAACTAAATATTCCACAGTCAACTGTTAGTGGTATTATAACAAAGTGGAAGCAACTGGGAACAACAGCAACTCAGCCACAAAGTAGTAAGCCACGTAAAATGACAGAGCAGGATCAGCATGCTGAAATGCACAATGAACAAAAGTTGCCAACTGTCTGCAGAATCAATAGCTAAAGACCTACAAACTTAATGTGGCCTTCAGATTAGCACAACAGTGCATACAGAGCTTCATAGAATGGGTTTCCATGGCCGAGCAGCTGCATCCAAGCCTTACATCACCAAGTGCAATGCAAAGCAACGGATGCAGTGTTGTAAAGCATGCCGCCACTGGACTCTAGAGCAGTAGAGACATGTTCTCTGGAGTGACGAATCATGGCTTCCCTGTCTGGCAATCTGATGGACATGTCTGGATTTGGCGGTTGCCAGGAGAACGGTATTTCCCTGACTGCATTAAGCCAAGTGTAAAGCTTGGTGTAGGGGGGATTATGGTGTGTGGGGTTGTTTTTCAGGGTTTGGGCTTGGCCCCTTGGTTCTAGTGAAGGGAACTCTTAAGGCATCAGCATACCACAACATTTTTGACAATTTCATGCTCCCAACTTTGTGAGAACAGTTTGGAGGTGGACCCTTCCTGTTCCAACATGACTGTGCACCAATGCACAAAGCAAGATCCATAAAGACATGAATGAGTGAATTTGGGGTGGAGGAACTTGACTGGCCTGCACAGAGTCTTGACCTCAACCCGAAAGAACACCTTTGGGATGAATTAAAGTGGAGACTACAAACCAAGCCTTATCGCATGACATCAGTGCCTGACCTCAAAAATGCCCTTCTGGAAGAATGGTCAAACATTCCCATAGACACACTCCTAAACCTTGTGGACGGTCTTTCCAGAAGAGTTGAAGCTATTATAGCTGCAAAGGATGGGCCAACTCAATATTGAACCCTACGGACCAAGAATGGGATGCCATTAAAGTTCATGTGCGTGTAAAGGCAGGCGTCCCAATACTTTTGGCAATATAGTGTATATACCATACCTGCGGGATCCCTGGGGAGAAGCTGGAAATCATTGTAGTAGACATTGCTACTCCAGTGCTCTCAACTAACTTTCGGGTCACATGCTAAGTGCGTGCCCTGCTACATTGCAAACATTGACATGAACACCAATTAGAGAATGCAAAATGTTCTCTGATTGGCCAAGGTGGAGAAGTCACAGCCATGATGAGTAATAACAACTTACACCACACAAAAATAATAACTCACAAAAAAAAAAAAAAAAAATCAATAAAAATACAGTACAGTTCTTCTTAAATGCCTCCCATAAACTAGAGCAATAACCTGCATATTCTATCTACTAGAAGGAAGGATAAAATATAACATACTGTTTTAGGAGTCCTGATGAATACTTTGGTTCGGCCATACTTGATCTCTTCTTTTGGAATGCTGACTTTTGGGTCATTTAACAAAGCTTCAACTCCCACCCTGGCACAACACATAGCAACATTATACACCGGTAAAAAAGTCACAATAAAACTATTTTTCAGAAGGGTCAGTAGGTATTAAAGAGATGGTGATTCTAAAATTCTTCTGTTAAAGTGACATTAAATTCTGGTTTAAAAATAGAATGTAAATAAATGTAGTCCAATAGCTGCTTTGGAATCTCCCCACTGTTGTCCACTATCAAACACATGACAACGGGACCTAATGGGGATACCAAAGCCACTATTGGACTAAATGGAATCTGACCACTGTCAATCACAAGAAAAGCAGACTTATTAAGAAAATAATATCATTGGCTGTAAGGCCACTAGCAGCCTACAAAACAACACAGCCCCCTAATCTCCCCCACTCCCAGCAATCTGGCATGTCTCTGTTCTGGTCCTGACATATTCTTCTGTGCCGGTCATCAGGCCTCCTCATTGGCCAGCAGAGGATGATGTTAACCCTGTGCATGTGCAGTTCAGTTTACAGCGCTGAATGAGATGGCGAGTAGGCAGGAAAGGACATTTTATTGCAGAAGAGACGGTGGATGTCACTTTGGCAATAAAAGCCTGCCTGCTAACAGTTTTTTACAGCAGGATTTCCGTTCCGCTCTAATTACCTAAAAACTTGAGGTAATTTTTTTTTATTTGATGCAGACACAACAACCCATTGTAAAAGTGATGCAACAAAGAACTACTGTACATGTACAGTAGTTGTATGTCTCAGAATTGTCACAAAACTGTTGAAATGCTTTAATGAATTTGGCACCAAACATTTTAAAGGGCCAATAGGGCCAGAAAAGTATTGAAAATGCTTTATTGAATTCCCCCCAGTGTCTCTAATATACCAACTACCCTCTCCCAAAAAAAGAACCAATAAATGTACAAGGGGCAAGCACACTACTACAATTCCAAAATGCCTTAATGTAGAACTCCAGTACAACTATGTATATTTAAACTGTTCCATTACCAAAATTTTCTTACAAACGCATACATTTATTCCCATTGCACACCATACCAGAATAGATATTATTTAGAGTGGAGAAGTAACTGTTGACTTGCATCACATATGAAGTAAAATATGTTACCAGCACACCCTGGATCTTTTTTCAAAGGCCAAATATTTATATGGATATCAGGGGTGTAACTACAGACTACTTTGTATGTAGACATACTTTGTATGTTAACATACAGTATGTCTAAATTGAGAAGAGGAAGCAGGAAATCTGTCAGTAAAGTTAGTACATTAATAGGGACCAGCACTGTGAGTAGACGTTGTCACAGAAGAGGGGGCAGTATTGCAGGGAATAAACTTTAACATTAATATTCTAGTTAACCACCAGTCTTTTTCAGCATCTCACAACTTAGCGCCTCGATATAATATCTAAGCCCTACTTCTCCTTCCAACACTGTAGCAAGCAAGTGCTGAAAGTGGTGTTGTAGTACTCAGTAAAAAACAAAACAACATTTGGGTGGTGCATACCAAGTATACCCAAGTGGTAGGAGTCAACACCATGTAGCTTTATGATGTAAAAGGACAATTACATCTGAAATACAGTAGCTTACAGAATGGAACAGGTGGAAGTTCAATGTACTTCACTTCAAGTTCCCTCTCTCCCAATCAAGAAGGGTTCCAACCCTGACCTACTCCCACCCTGAGGGCATGACAAATAATGCAGAAAGTTTATTTAAGCACTTCTATTTATAGATGGCTGCCCAAATCTTGCATGATCTCCTCGTTCAATGGAAGATGCTGGTTCCCCCCAAATTGGCTTCCTGAGCCCATGAGAAGGGACAACTTTAGTCCGCTCTGAGTTTCTGCCAGCCTAAAGAAGCAGTACAGTGCCATCTTTAGGTTGGCAGGCACACATCAGTATCGACTGTCTATGAAAAGAATTGTGGTAGCAATAATAAACAACACAAAATTGTATAATATGACATAAAAGTTGTTGTTACTCTTGCATACAATCACTCCATATCCCTAATACAAACTTATTTAAACTGTAGGGATTTTTTTTTCAGAACTACTAGCAGCTTAAGTTTTTACTGAGGAGACAGTGATTTAGGCATTGGAGGTTTAATTTCAGTGTTGGCCAGAATGACCAGAAGCTCTGAGGGCAATAAATCTACAGTACTACAACAGCCTAATTCTCTTTCTAATTTTAAAAGCTTCTCCTGTGTGTATGGCCTGTGTATGTCTGACATCAGCTGGTCTTAATTTCAAATGTCAGAAGGGGGGGGGGGGAGGTAAGGGTAACAGCTGTGTTCATTAGTTTTAGGCCTTCTCATTTTTTAAGTGTTGCTACAGTTGCAAGAAAAAGTACGTGACGAACCCCTTTGGATTCCGTGGAGTTTTGCATGAATTGGGCATAAAATGTGCTTTGAACGTCATCTAAGTCACAACAATAGAAGAACACAGTCTGCTGAACATAATACTACACAAACATTAGATGTTGCCATGGTTTAATTGCACATAACATGTAAACATTCACAGTGCAGGGAGGAAAAAGTATGTGAGGCCCTAGCTTAATGACTTCTCCCAGAGCTAATTGGAGCCAGGAGTGAGCCAATCTTGACTCCAATCAGTGTGATGATATTGGATGTGTTGCTGACAGCTGTCCTGCCCTTAAAAAAAACACACACCTGTTTTGGGTTTACTGGTTTCAAGAAGCACTGTCTGATGTGAACCATGCCTCGCAGAAAAGAGCTCTCAGAAGACCTACGATCAAGAATTGTTGACTTGCATGAAGCTGGAAAGGGTTACAAAAGTATCTCCAAAAGCCTTGATGTTCATGTGTCCACGTTAAGACAGACTGTCTACAAATGGAGAAAGTTTAGCATTGTTGCTACTCTCCCTAGGCATGGTCGTCCTGTAAAAATGACTACAAAAGCACAGCGCAGAATGCTGCATGAGGTAAAGAAGAATCCCAGAGTGTCAGCTAAAGACCTACAGAAATCTCTGGCACATGCTAACATTTTTGTTGACACATCTACAATAAGGAAAACATTAAACAAGAATGGAGTACATGGGAGGACACCACGGAGGAAGCCATTGCTGTCGAAAAAGAATATTGTAGCACATTTGAAGTTTGCAAAAGAGCACCTGGATGTTCCACAGCACTACTGGCAAAATATACTGTGGACAGATGAAACCAAGATTGAGTTGCTTGGGAAGAACACACAACACTATGTGTGGAGAAAAAAAAGGCACAGCACACCAACATCAAAACCTCATCCCTGTAAAACATGGCGGAGAGAGCATCATGGTTTGGGGCTGCTTTGCTACCTCAGGGCCTGAACGGATTGTTGTCATTGATGGGAAAATGAATTCCAGAGTTTATCAAGACATTTTGCAGGAAAACATATGACCATCTGTCCGCCAACTGAAGCTCCGCAGAGGATGGGTGATGCAACAGGACAATGACCCAAAGCATACAAGTAATTCAACAAAACAATGGCTGCAACAGCACAGAATACGCCTTCTGGAGTGGCCCAGTAAGAGTCCTGACCTCAACCCGATTGAAATGCTGTGGCATGACCTTAAGAGAGCGATTCACACCAGACATCCCAAGAATATTGCTACACTGAAACAGTTTTGTGAAGAGGAGTGGTCCAAAATTACTCCAGATTGTTGTGCAGGTCTGATCTACAACTACAGGAAACGTTTGGTTGAGGTTATTGCTGCCAAAGGAGGGTCAACCAGTTATTAAGTCAATGCCAAGTGACTCCACTCCCCACATAGACTGTCACAGGGTGAGCTCGGGCTCATGACAAAGGCAGAACATCATGTCACGCATGCAATACTTGAGTGATTGGCTGATCTTAAAGCTGCTCTACATGCTAAAACCCTGACAAATGCTTTTTCACTTGCCTACAATGAGGTCGGCTTGATCTGATCCCACTGCTACTCTGCTTCAAAAGTTATTCACTGGAGGAATTATAGACTTACTGTTTAATCATCTATTCCCTATATATGTAATGATGATGAAAAGGAAAGGTGGATAAACCATCTGATTAACCAATAACCAACAAGACTCATTGGGAAGTCAAGCCACTGTTGAATGACTTGATTATTTTGCAAGTCTCTCTGCTGCTGTTCTGCCTCTACCTGCACTACATTCAGCCTTAGATTGAACTTTTACTAGCTAGTGCTGTGGATGAATGAATAATATTTATTTACCAGGTCTGCATACCTACTCTGGGACTTTAAAGCAATTGGTAAAAGGCTTAGATGTGGTGATTGCCTGCGCTGGAATCCTGTGCAATGCATATGGCCAAAAATATTGACACCCCTACATTTCTGTCAGATAATGCACCACTTCGTCCAGAAAATTGTTGTAATTACAGATGCTTAGGCATTCTCATGTTTATTTCTTTTGTTTGTATTGGTATGACACAAAAAATGTGGAGAAACAAAAAGACAAATCTGACACATTCCACGCAAAACCTCAAAAACGGACTGGACAAAGTTATTGGCACCCTCAATTTAATATTTGGTAGAACACCCCTTGGATAAAATAACTGAAATGAATTGCTTCCTGTAACCATTAATGAGTTTCTTACACCTCTCTACTGGAATTTTGGACCACTCCTCTTTCGCCAGTGGCTCCAGATCTCTCAAAATGGAAGAAGTCCTTTTCCCAAGTGCTGTTTTGAGATCTCTTCACAGGTGCTCTATGGGATTGAGATCTGGAGTTCAGTACTCTCCAGCGCTTTGTGTTAAACCATTCCTGGGTGCTTTTTGACATGTAGTTTGGGTCATTGTCCTGCTATAAGACCCATGATCTCTGATGGAGACCCAACTTTCTGACACTGGGCCTACACTGCACCCCAGAATTCTTTGGTAGTCTTCAGATTTCATAATGCCATGCATATGGTCAAGATATTCAGTGCCTGAAGCAGTGAAGTAACCCCAAAACATCAGTGAGCCTCCACCATGTTTGACTGTAGGAACTATATTATTTTCTTTAAAGGCCTCATTTCTCTTTCTGAAACCAGTAATTTTGTTTCATCTGTCCACAGCACATTCTCCCAAAATGATTTTGACTTCCTAAGGTAAGTTTTGGCAAGCTCCAGTCTGGCTTTTTTATCTTTCTATGTTAGCAGTGGGGTCCTCCTGGATCTCTTACCATAGCATCCCTTTTCATTCAGATAGCGACATATAGTGCAAGTTGACACAGTTGTACCCTGTGCCTGAAGGTTAGCTTGACTTTATCTGGAAGTTGGTCGAGGTTCTTTAGCCACCATTCAAACAATCCTTTATTGCAATCGTTGATCAATTTTTCTCTTTCGTCCATGTCCAGGGAGATTATCTACAGTGCCAAGTGCTGTAAACATCTTGACAATGTCGCACACATTGGACACAGGAACATTAAGATCTCTGGAGAGGATAACCTTGGGATTGTCCATGCTTTTCTTCAACTTTTGTTCTCAAATCCTCAGACAACTCTTTACTGCTCTTTCTCTCCTCCATGCTCCATGTGGCACACAGACACACAACAGAAAGGTTAAGTCAGTTTTTTCACCATTTTAAGTCGTTGCCAGTGTGATTTTCTATATTGTCAGCATCGGCTAATTGATACAGGTGAGTTTTATTACAAATTACAGGAGCATCACAAACTTGGAATGCAATTATTTCTTTTGAGAAGGTGCCAATAATTTTGTCCACTCTGTTTTTGGAATTTTGCGTGGAATGTGTCAGATTTGACTTTTTGTTTCTCCACTTTTTTGAGTCATACCAATACAAACAAAAGAAATAAACATGAGAATGCCAAAACATTTGAAATTGTAATAATTTTCTGGGTGAAGTGGTACATTATCTTACAGAAATGTAGGGGTGCCAATATCTTTGACCATTACTATGTTTTAATTTGACGCCCAGATGTTTACTTGGTGTACATTGTTTTTATGCAATTTAGTGTCTTCAGTATTAGTGAATAAGCACTGTATATTTCTAAAACTAAGCTAATTTTGGATAAAATATTTTATTATTTTTGATGATTTATTAAATTCATTGTTTAAGCATACGACTGCAAGCCCTATTTGCCATTTCAAGTAACCACTTTAAGCCAAATTTCTGAGGTTTACTCAGTTGTTTTGAGGTTTTTTTTTTCCAGTGTCAACAGCAACCTCTGCAAACCTTAATAGTCCTAGGTTCACACTTACCAGCCATCTGCGGGCCCTTTGTGGGTGCAGGAATCCCAGCTGTTCCTGCACCCGCAACCACCCGCAGCCAAATCGTGCTGCTCTTACGAGACACGCGGGGCTACTATTCATTCTGAATTGAACCCCCACACATCTCAACCCACAACACGTTTGCAGGTGTGGGAACTGCAGGGAAATTGCATGGTCAAAAAGAGCATGCGGTTTCCCTGTGGTTGCATTTCTCAAAAAGTGCATGCACCTTTTTTCTGCGGTAAACGCAGGCACAGCAACCTACTCAAATGATTGGGCTGCTGTTCCTTAACAAATGTGGGCCGCACGGCCCGTAATGGTGTAAACCGAGCTCTATACAGTGATGGATATGCAATTACTATGATAGAATTCAAATGCCATTTTATAGTAGGTCTTAGTCATGCACAGAACTTGGCATTCCTTGCACCCCAACCTTTACGGATGAGTTGTGCTTTTCCCCTTTCAAACATAAAATGGTGCTGTTTATTCTATAGCACCATAGGAGATGATCTTGCAACAAAGGAGGGTGATGTGATAATTTTCATAAGTTCCCACTCTATAGGGACTTATTGAGAATTCTTTAACAACCAAATAATGTCAGGTTTGACTAATCACTTTGCAGATATCTGTTTTCACTTTGACATTAAAAAGTATATTAATAGAATATAAAAAAACTATCAGAATAATGAATACTGTTATATGAACTGTATATTGCCCTTTTGGCTGAATCTTCTTATTAAAAAAAGAACAGGTTAGGAGTACATTTGCATATAGAAAAAGGAGAAGTAATCAGAATAATTTGATCATTTTCAATAATGTTATTATAATTTCTAGCTCCCAAAGTGAAATGAGTAGCGAGCAAATGTAACACAGCACAAAAAATGTCTGTGCTTGGAAAACATATCAACCTTTAGAATTACCAAACTAAAACAAAAAGGGGAAGGTTACACAAACAATGGTATGATAAATATTATGTGTTGACCCATAGACTCCATAATAAATGCATACAATATATGATATAGTATAGTATTATAGCACTTTAAATGGTATCTGTAATATTTGACATCTCCTTGAAGGTACTTTCTTTACCTTGCATCCCCTTCCCATCGGGGCCATGTCTCCCTACTCAGCAGCTTGTATCTGTTTAGGAAAGCACTGTACACCTGCCGGTAAGCAAAGCCAGCCCGACGAACTCTTACATTCTCCAGCAAGCCAAGGTACTGCACCTGTGTCCTCACAAGCTTCTCATCAAACAAGGATGCCTTCTTTGTGTCATTGGGTTTCAGACATCTGTTGCACAGAAACCAAAGGATAATTTAGTTTTTTTTGTAGAAGAAAATATAAAAACCCATATTTCAGCTCAAGCAGACAAACTGAATATCAACACTTACAAATACAGATCAAGAAATCCAAAGACAACAAACAATTTATACAGTTCGGCTATTAAAAACAAAAGAAGCAGAAAACAGTAATGATTTCCATGGCTAACTGGTCAGTTTTAGATATAATGGTGCTGATTTACTAAAGGAGTAAAACATATTCAAGGGAATTTTCATTTTGAAATGGTATGTTCACTTAGCTTAGGGAAGAATACTTTACCACATGCAAGGAAAAAAAAAACAGGAAAAATTTTGCTTGCACATGACTGGATGTTTTAAAGTCAACACAGCTTCTTCACATTAACTAAATTCCCTTGCAAAGTAAACATGTTCTTCTCATTTAGTAAATCAATCTTAGTATGCCCTGCATATGTGGAAAAAATGCTTGATGTATGTAAAGAGCCCTCATGTATTGCTAAGTATCAGAAACTAGTTACCGAATATAGTTGGGATTCTTGGCATACAGATTCTTCATAAGTGTTGACACAGAGGCTCTAAACTGGAAGCCAACAGTGGGCGGACGTTTCAATGAGGAGTTCTTTGGGTCGCCTTCTGGGAACAGAGATTTCAACAGTTCATGTTTGGCCTTCCACATGGCTTGCGAGAGGTCTCTAAAGAGAAGATCGTTGTTTTTGTCCAGAAAACCTTCAGTGTTGTAAGTGACCTGAATAGAACAGGAGAACAGAGGATGTTATGTTTTTTTCTCACCTACAATAGACTCAGAGAGTGATTTTCTAGAAAGAATTAAAGCATAATAAAGCAAACCATAGGTAAAGATTTACTAAAACTGGAGCAGCTGTGCATGGCAGCCAAACATCTTCTAACTTTAGCTTTTTCAATTAAGCTTTGACAACAAAACCTTGAAGCTGTCTAGTTTTTATGCAGAGCTGCTTATAGCCCTGATTCAAACCAGCGCAACTTGTCATGCGATTTGACGTTCGAAATCGCATGACAAGTCACACCCCATTATTGGCAACAGAACTGTTCAAATCGGTGCAGCTCTTGACTTTGCGGTGCAGCACCGATTCGTAAAAAGGTTCCTGCACTATTTTTTGCATTTTCAGGTGCACCTGTAATCACACAGACCTGCTGCTTTGAAATTGTGCTACTTCAAGTAAAGTAGCACAATTTCAAATTCACATTCAGCGTGAACCATGGACTAGAAATCAACCTTATTGTCACTAAAACAGATGTTTCCATTTAAAGATTTTCCTTCTATTGCTGGAATTTTTTGATTTTCCCTCAATTTCAGTACTTACGATAATGTTCACTAGGATAAATAATGAGGGTGAATTTTCCTCACCATTCACTCTAAATCTAAAAAAAATATTTGGCTTTAACAAATAGACTTGTGTTTGGTTTTAATTTCTTTATCGCACACCATGAGACACACAGTTACCATATTTATTTTTATTTGATGGGTTATGTGCCACCTACAGGTGAATGGACACTGACAAAAAAGACAGGAAGTGCTTCAGTTTTATCTCCAGCATTCAAAGGTGATGGCCACTGATGTGCAGCTCTCTGCACAGACACTGACGTGCTCAAAATGGTTCCAGTAGGGATCAAGAGTTTGGTGCTTTCCGTATCCATTCCAACAGCTAAAACAATCAGATGAATGGTACCCAGGCCCTGCCATGATAGAAGAGGTTGACATGCAAAGATTGACTGTAATGCAGCCTTTTTTGCATTGGAACCTCCATGTACGGAACCCTGCACAGCATCAACTGACGAAGGTGTTACCGGAAGAGTGCTATACAGGTCCAGGGCTTTGAACCAAGGGAATGGGGGATCGAGTCCCTGAAGGTATTGAGTGACATTGCCTGCCGTTAAGGGTTAAGGTTGGTTCTCGATTTTCTAGGTCAGAGTCTACTGTAAGATTGGTAAGTGTCTGGTAGCCTTGGTCCCAGGGGGTTTTTCACTCTATTGTGTTGTATACCATTTGTCCTTCCTATGTGTTCCACTAGATGGTGATGTTTGAGAAACAGAAGTTGCCTTCCTCAGGTTCCCCTAGAGGGCAGTATGGTGCAAGTCTGTCCCTGAAAGCTATGCCAATCTGTAATGGTTTTATACTTGCTAGTCTCTGGCTGCAGGAAATATCCCTGGGCATTCTGGGTGTTTTTTCTTTACTAATGGGCAAGTGTATAGTGCAGTGTATAGGCTGCAGGGCACATGCAAATGTCAGGGCATGCACATGGGTGAATGCACAATTCAGGGATCTACTCAAGGGTGGACATCACAGTAGGGCTACAATTGCCAATTTTAAATGTAGAAACAGTGAGCATGTGTTGCAGTCCTTGCTATGATGTGAGTGCACCTGTGGAGGAAGGAAACTGGTAGCTGGGGGTGGAAATATCCTGTGGTAACCTTACACTTTTTTTTGTTCAACTTTAGTTTGTTCTTTAAGTGTCCTCTCAGCTGATTGGAACTGTCTATTTTTCTGGCACAGGTCCCAGGTGTATTTGTCAGCAAGCTAAAGTTTTCCAAAAATCAGAGAGGTGGGAGAACAGCTGGGAGGGGCATGCGGTCACACAGTGAGGTTTTGAGGCCGCTAGATATAATCCAGCTGGTGTGATTTCCCTGATAGGCTAGAGGTACAGATAGTTCAGGGCCCCTAAGTTGGTTGTGTAACCACTGCTGGGACATCATCATCATCATCATCATCATCATGTCGTATGTTATGAAGGAAGGAAGCTGCTTTAGCTAACTTACACTGGGGTGCTGTCTCAGATACTGCTGTTAAAATCCTAGTATCCTCTCTTGTTGTAGAAGAGGAATGGGTGGATGTGGATGAGTAGGAGCTAGAGAAGGGACAGATGGTAGACAGCCCACAGGGGATTTTGAATCTGAAGAGGTTCAGATTCAAGGTGTCTCTCAGACTCAAAGAGCATTGAACTCCTTGTCAGAGATACTTCACACCGAATTAAATCTGTCACTTCTTGAAACTTCCTCTCCAGCTTGATCAGCTTGGATACTTGATGGCCGCCACAAAGTTCCCATTCTTTTTTTCCTTACACTGTCATTAGAAGAGGTAGCATTTGTGGAATGGGTTCATCTTGATAAGGTGTTTGTTCCTTCTAAAAAGTTCACACAACTGTATCCAATGGATGAAAAAATTAACTAGGAGATGAAAAATGCATGGACAGCGATTATGGTCTGTCAGAGCCTTAAGGACCAAGTTAAGAGGCTAGTTAAGAATAATTCTGCAGATTCTAAGAGGAGTCCTGGTGAGGATTTACCTCAAGCTCCCTGTGCTGTGGTGGATGCCTTGAAGGATTCCATTCAGCAGGTCTTGTGCCTGGAACCTTTGTCTGTCCACAAGCACAGAATTCTTTAAATAAAGTATTGGTCTGTGTAGTTACAAAAAGTTATTGGCAGATTTGTTTTCTGTTCCATTGGGAACACCTGTTTGAAACAGAGTTGGATTGTGTATCTAAAATATTTTGGGAAGTAATAGTTCCCTTTTGCCTCTCAGGAAGAGAAGTAAACTTTCATCTCAGAGGGCAGTGACTGCTTCAGGATCTGATCTCTCTAGACAGTCCTTTTGGTGCTTGAAGGCCTCTACCTCAAGAGGGAATTCTCAGGGTCTGTTAAGACTCTGGGGGTGCCTATTCTGGGTTACCTGGTGCCAGGGACCAATCTGTTCACCTAATTGATCACAATGTGACTATTGCAGTTTGGACCATGGAGAGGTGCAGCTGGGTTGACAATCTCCAGTAGTCATCATTGTTTCAATCCAGAGGCTGGAATGGGCATGACCTGGGACAATGTCCAGTCATGATTTTTTCTTCTGGCAGATAGGTGTGTAGCCCTAGGAAATCAGGTGTCTTCCCTCAGATCTCTGAGGTATCCCTCAATTCGTTTCTGCATAAGAGCTATTAAAGAAAATTATGGCCTCGTTCGAGGCAGTTCTGTTTTCTCAGTTTCATTCAAGGCCTCTACAGCAGAAAGTCCTGTTAGCATGGGACACAAGAACTGTCGCTGGAGTCTTGGATGTTTCTGCAGCCCAGGACATTAAGTTCTGGACTGGTGGAGGTTTCCTCTGAGGCTGAAGAGAGGGAAGTAATTTCTTCCTGTTATTTGGAAGGTTCTGAATACAGATGCCAGACTGATGGGCTAGGGAGGTGTTCTGGGCCACCTTTTAGTGCAGGGGGTTTGTTGCACAGGATAAGTTGTTACCCATCGATATGTTTTAGCTTTGAGCAGTCCAGTTGGTGTTTTGGCATTGGACAAAGAGGTTGAAGGGCCTTCCAGGGGATTCCAGTCAGACAATGTTACAGCAGTAGCATATATCAATCACCATTGGGCACCTGGAGCCGGGCTGCTTAAAGTAGACAAGTCTCATTCTGTCCTGAGTGGAATTCATGTTCCCTCTCTACCTGCAGTTCATATTTTGAGAGTAGAGAACTGGCAAGAGGATTTTCTCAGTCAGTAGCGGTTGTCGACAGGAGAGTGGTCTTTCCATCCTGAGGTGTTCGAGGCACTTTGTTGAAGATGGGGCAGGGCAGATGTGGGTCTGTTAACATCCAGGTTGAATGCAAAGCTGGACAGGTTCTTCTCATGAATCATGGATCCACAAGCATTTGTAGAAGATGCCCTGGTGACACCATGGGAACAATTCTCTCTGACATACTGTATGCTTTTCCTCCAATAAAGCTTCTTTCACACCTGTTGAGCAGAATCTTGGTGGAAGAACACTGGTGATTCTGGTTGCACAGTTTGGCCCAGGAGAACATAGTATATCAACATTGTGAATACGGTGCTAGACAATCCATGGACGCTTCCAACTTTACCAAACCTCCCAGGGTTCAGCCTTCGTTATTATCTCTGGCAATAATGGCTTGGCTATTGAAGACAGAATTTTGAAGGCTAGAGGGGGGCTGATGCATTTACTCCTATTTTTTAGGAGCCAGGAAGACTTTCAGGAACATTTACCATATGACTTGGATGTCTTATGTGGCTTGGTGTGAAGCTAGAGGGTTTCATCCTTGCAAATATGTCATTGGTTGGATCCTGTGTTTTCTTCAATCTGGAGTGGAATTGAAGCTGACCTTGAGTGCTTTCTAGGGGCAGATCTTGATCTTGGCCATATTTTCCAAGGGTAGATTGCTTCTAATTCATTAGAGAGTCATGCATATGATTCCTCACCCATGCCTCCATGGGATCTAAATTTTAATTTTGTCTGTTTGTAGGAACAACCATTTGCACCTATTCAGGACGTTCCATTAGTTTTTTGACTCATAAAATGGTGTTTATGGTAGCTCTTACTTGGGTCCCATCCCTCTGTGGGGATGTATTGCTTGCTACAAAACTGAAGCACTTCCTGTATGAATAGAATTATATTTGGAGGACTTCCTGATAGTGTCCATTCACCTGTAGGTGGTGTATAATCCATCAAGAAAGGATTAATATGATTGCTCTATGTACCGTGATGTACTCCAAGAAATTGATTTTACAGGTAAGTACAAAAATCCAGTTTCTTTAGTATAGTATATAGTCATTACTATATACTGGTCCTCACAAAGCTTTGCCTTCCTGGCTGTGTTTGTGAAAGTTTATTAGGCTATTATATTTTAACAAGTGTCTAGGAAAACAAGTACATGAACAATCCCCTAAAAGAATATACTGTATCAACAATTGCTTTCATAGAGATAATTACAGGGAGCTAATAACTGTCTGTGTTAAGTGTAAGGGACTATTCATTCTTACCTGTCCAGCATAATGTTCAATGCGGAAAGCATTGTCAGCCAATGTGATATCAGTAATGCGTTTTTCATTTTGGGTGGCCTTGCTTTTGAAGTGCTGATGGTTTTTGAATTTCAATCCTAGCTTGGTTAGAAAGGTGGCATCTGTGACATTCCCAGGGCGCAGGCATTCTTCATCTAGCACTGCTAAAATGCCATTGGTATTTCTGCCAGGGGACAAAGCATGCGCAGTTATCAATTTAAATTATTTTATACCATCAAGTATTCTCATATTCTCCATCTATCACTCTAAATTGAAATAGCATTCTGATGACAATTCTGTTATTTACCTGTTAACAATATATTCAGAATAAAGTAAGCAATAGTAGAATCAAAACATCTGACAAAAAAAGTGCAAGCTTTTAAATATACAGCTAAGACTTAAAGAGAAACACTCAGTCCGAATGCTTGAAAACAGTGAAGACCTGGAGGAGAATGGTACTCTGCTCCACTCCATCCAAAAATAAGAAATACTTTTGTGAGCATACTGTATGAATTATTATAAGGCAGGATTATTTGGTTAGTAATCAGCACAAAAGGTCCGTCCCCTATACCCAATATTATATTCAAGTGGGAATAGTTAAAAAAAACAAGTACAAAACAAAAATATCTGATTTGACGAAATAGCCTATGTGTGATATATAAGGAGGAAACTGCTGCTTACATCTTCTATGAGATTGCAGATGATTTCATTGTCAAAAAAGGTAATGTGACTCCATTCAATCCCCTAAAATAAAACAATAGAGAAAAAATAGAGAAACGAAACACATCAGTTTATAGTGCATTGAGTATGTTACAGTATAATCAAATGACATTTTTCTAACATAAGTAAGAGTTAATTCTCCATGCTTAAAATCAATATTTTCTAATAAGATAGCACAACAATCTACTTCTAGGTTGTAAATGAAGACCAATTCTACTCAAAGCTGCTATTTCTTGTTTCAGTTGACACTGGTGGGCTGAATATCTGCTGGCACTCTTGAATTCTCAAAGTGCTAAAATCTCTTGAGGATGATTAGTCTGTTACCTGCCTTGGGCCATCATAAAGGTGTTACTAGTAACGCCATTGTTTAATGGTTTAACTTTTAATAGACAATCTATTACCTCTACTTTCACCTTCTGACCAGAATCATAGAAAGTTTTTAAACCTCCACAAAAATGGTAAATATCAGTCATCATGGGTTGCTTATTGTTTTTCTTACCCCTTTTTTTTTATATAAAATGAATGTTAAGTTTGATAACTGATGATACTATAATAGATAGCATTTCCCTAAAAAAAAAAAAAAACATACTTGTGGATCATAGGAAATCCCTGTTTCTAGCCTGCAATTTTTTTTTTATCGCTAAAATGTAAGCAGATGTCATCCAAGGCATGCTCTCTGTTCCCTGCTTACCCTGTACTTAGTAATATATATAACTAGGTGCCTAAAACACAGATCCATGAAATGTTCTAATCTTCCGAAAGAATTAAAGGGTAAGATAAGAAATAAAATTGAAAGCTGAAATTTTGATTTACCTCTCTCTTGTACTCTTCTTGTTCTTCTTTTAATGTCATTTGAATAAAGATTTGCTGAAGCTTCTCATTACAATAATTAATAATGAATTGTTCAAAGCTGTTATCCTAGTGAATATGGACAGTTATATAAAAAAAAATGTGTCATATCAGTGAAACACATGTAAATTGTCTTTTGTTAAAAAAAAAACCCTCTAAAAACAATTTTATTCTTATGAAAATATTTTAAATTATTAAATAATACATTCCTCCTTTTCTCCTTGTAACTGGAGAGAACCTAATTGAAGAACGTGCCTGACACGTCTAATAAAATTGTGTTTTCCAACATTCTATTACTGCATTATGAAAAAAGGCAGATACATGCTTTCAAAGTTTACATTTCTCCTTTAAGGTTGTGAGACATGTATGCACCATGTGCCATTGTCATGCAACATATTAAGCTGGTGCTGTGACAATAATAGGGACTGTTCACTTAGCAAAATCAATATTCACAAAGCTTAGTAAATAAACTATACTTCAATCAACCACTTATGTACTAGAAATGGTTTGGTGATGGGTTTTTTTTTCTGTTTTACATACACGATTGGGAATTCCAAAGTTCATGTTATACTAGCATTCATTCAGTTGCAAAGTGAACATCATATGGTCCTCTAGTGAATTAGCCCCAAATGGATCAGCTCCATCTAATATTTATGTTAACAGAAATTGGAAGAAACTTTCAGCACTAATTACAATAAGGAGGAACTATAGCGATTAGGACATGGTTGCCATTAAGCCTATAGACAGAAATGGCTGGACTGAGTGACTATCATCATGAGTAGCTTTACACGCATCAAGTGGCAGAAAACCTACATCGCATCACAGGAGGTGATCGTTTTCTTCTGGTTTAGTTCTAAGGAGAACTGATCACATGAATGAATACAAATTCAAGCTCTTCCATGTATTTAATAGGAATAAAATTGTGTATCAATACTAATAGTAAAGAGTGCTTAAGGGATTCTTCCATAAGTAGCAACCCTAACCAGAAAAAGGAGAGGATATTGAATACTAACCAAATGATTTATTGTTAAAAGAACAATCTACCAAATCTACCATAAAAGGCCACACATACACACATACAGGTCCAGTTTTAAATAAGGGTAGCAATGAATCTTACTTCTAATATTTCAAAGCCATAAATGTCCAGCACACCCATTACTTTCTTCACCTGGAATTCAGATGCCTAAGGGTAAAGATAAATGGAACTGTAAGCATGTATTATATTAATTTATATTATATAATATTCACAAACTGTATATATTAATGTGTTTTTATTTTCTACACACTGGCCCCTGGCACTACAGTTATGCAATTCTGTGTTATTTTTTTCTGCGGCAATGGTCTGTATATTACAGTGAAAATAATTTTTTATTGTGAATGCAGATCTCAGTTTTCAGTGACACGTTGATGACTGTGGATCACACCTAAATAAAGCATGTCCAGGAGAACCAAAACCTGCATCTATGAGAAGAGCATTTATTTCTATTATGTACATATAGGGGGTATACAAACTGAGGCTGACAATGACTATAAAGAATATAAGATAAACTGAAGCTATCAGCTGGAAAGTGAAATGGAATCCCACAGTTGTGTTTTGCACACATCGTCCTAGTAAATATGACATTTGTTTTGTTGGGATTCCTTGCATAATTTTGGGGGCATAGGCTCTAGGTAGACATGTCTGGACCGAGAAACATTGCACATTTGGCTCCCAGCATGCAAAACTGAACATCAGTATACTGGTTAACATATGTTAGTGTGCCATCCTGGCCACTAGTATTCTCAAACTAGTCACTGGTAAAAGCTGCTGCTGTAGGAGCATTGATAAGGTAAGAGGACTGGAAGGCATATGTAGGGAAAAACATTAACTACATTACTTGTATTTTTAAGTAAAAAAAAGGAATTAAATGGAAAACATATCCAAAACTGACTAACCTTGCCACACACATTATTCTAAATTAACAATGTTGTATAGTTAGGACTTAGGACTTCGGGAACAAACCTTTATGCTTTCATTGATCCGTTGTACCAGCCAGCTAAACAGTCGGTCATACATGTTCTTTGCTAAAGCATCCCGGGCATAAGTTGCCTAAAGCACAAATAAATATGCAAATTAGCAGTGGGCATGAAAGCAAGTAGTCAATTCAAGTGTTACTAAACCAAACAACAGTAAAATCAGGCTGTACAGTGTATGCGGTAAAGCATGCTTGTTACACTCACTGTGAAATCTAAGAGGTTAATCCTCCGCAAGGCTGCTTAATCCTGTCTTCTCTGATCTTCCCCTTCTTCTACTGTTCCCAATCCATCTGCTGATAGTACAGAGCTCTAAGAGTCACTCTGCACATGCTCAGTTTAGCGTGTATTGCTAGAGAGGTTTTGTTTTTTCTTTGGGAGGGTGCATGTGATCAGCACAGGGCTAATCAGCACTGTCCAGACAGAGAGTTAGGGGTTATGCTTACTCAGAGGACATTCAGAGCAGCTGGACAGCCAGTGCTCAGCTGGACACTGAAAGAAGTCACAAGACTGCTATATACTGCTGATAAGAAAAGGTATTTAGCAGTTTATATTTACCAAAATAATTGCATTTCAGTGGAGTGTGTACTGTGGGTGTAGTCCATTACCGGTCTGCACAGAACTTTTTTGACAGTATTTTTAAACCATAATTTGTTTATAGGTAAAGATAATGGGGTATATTTACTAAAATTGGAGCACTCAGAGTCTGGTGCAGCTGTGCATGGTTACCAATCAGCTTCTAACTTCAACTTGTTCAATTAAGCTTTAACACATTTTGCCCTCTCCAGTTATAGTAAATACCCCACGTGTAATCTGTATCATGTCAATGAGACCCACTTAGTCATGCACACCAGAACATCTCCCTTCCCAAACAATTAGGATATATTAAAATGAAGATTTCATTTATGGTACTAAAATATCCACCATGTGCAAATTTTCCTTTCGAAAGTTAGGGAGAAATAAATAATCTATAATCAAGATGTATTAGTAGTAGCTTGGTTATTATCTTTGCTTGTAATGCCTAGGTCCTCGGTGCAGTTCTTATATAGGACACAATCTTCATGAAAATTGTATGTTCTTTCCATGCTTGTGTGGGTTTCCTCCCACAGCCAAAAATATGCAGGTAGGTGAACTGCCATGTAATTAAACCAGCGTTTATTGGAATTTCCATTCTACCATAAGTGGCCACCAGCCTTAGTAGGAAAACAAGAAGGTTAAGAGTCAAGCTAGAAACCTAGGCTTGTAAGACAAGCAGCTGAAAGAGCACTGAAGGTTCTGGCTGATATGCCAATATTGACATTGAAAGGCAAATTGACCTAAAATAATACAGCTAAATATATCAATAAAAGAGCACAGCAATTCATCAAGTGAATAACTTGATAATACCACAACAGGTACACTGGCAATCTGATCACTGTAGGTTTATGAGGATTTTAAAAGTTTTTTAACTTGCCCAGATGGAGAAAAAAGTCTGAAACCCAAGTTCACAAATCACCAAAAGGTGATGGAAAATACAAACTTTTATGGTTATCACTGGAATAAGAATAGATGGCCAATCTCTCAAAGGGGGCAACATTTCTGGTTACAACTATATAAGAGAGTGTCCCTCCTTTTTTGGTAAATTGATAGATCTACAGAACGGTAAAGCTAAGTTCACGCCTATGCAGTTTGCGTTTGATCTGTTTCTGCAGTGCTTTTTGTGGTGTGTTTTAAGCTTTTATGCATATCAATTTTTGATGCTTTTTGTGTTTTTTTTCCCAACTTGTTACTGGGCAGATTAAAAGGCAAAACGCATTAAAAAACGTCACAAATGCATCAAAAATACACTACATGCATTTATGCAGCGTCTCTATTGAAGCTATTGAACCAAAAACACAATGTTTTGCATTTAAAAAAGTCTATGACCCCTTCCGAAAAATGCACTGGGTGAAAACACAGAGATGTGAACGTGTCCCATAGGAAATCATGTTAAATGGGCTGCTGTGCATTTTTGCAAAATGCAAAAAGCAACAGAAAATGCATAGGTGTGAACCTAGACTAAAGGAAATCTCCCCAGTGGGGGAGGGGCTTTAACCATTCCAAAGAAAAACACCTTTGGTTTAGATATACTAAACTGTAAATTCTTAGGCTAGTGTGTAAGTATGCTAAGTTCTATAAGTATCTTTCACAAGAATGGCTGCCATGGGATAATGTGATGTGCCATCAAAAAAGTAAGCAAGACCTCAATTTTTATTAAATATTGGCTGAAAGAAAATTTCAAATGCCGATATTGGGCCAAACTGACCTGTGGATGACAGGACTATCAAATTGTATGTGACCATCATATAATCTACAAGATGTACAGTATGCTGAGATTCCTTGTTGTTCTGGTTCTATACCTGGTTTGCGTTCAGTGTAGTCACCACTTTTTCTTGTCTGGCTTCAACAGTACGGACACTGAATGCATTTTCTAGTGTGACGCTATCAAGACCGATCAGTGAGCCAATCTCTTTAACATCTGGATAAAAATGATAAAAACGTCAATAGAGATCAAGATACAAAATGCTACAATGGTGAATTACCAGGACAAAATGTTGAGTTTGTATTACTGTAGATATACAGTAGTTAGTTGATATTAATTGTTTGTGAATCTCTAGGTTCTAATTCTAATGTATCTTCCATATTTCAATAGGTATGATAGATATATGCAGGGTCGCAGAAAGAGATAAAAAGTAAAAACAGAAGAAATGTAATGAACCATTTCTAATCTGTTCTTGACAGTGCTGCCCTCTACATAAAATACAATTGTTTTCATCCTATTAATATCCTAATTTTGCTGATAAAATAACTTCAAGCAGCATTCAGCAAATAAGATCATATTGCTTCTCATAGCGTGTGTCATCTATTAACAGAAACATCTAATCATACCATACACATTAGGAAAAAAGAGGCAGAGACTATCAGGAGGGTGGCATGTCTTTGCAGTGTCCCAAGAATGGTACCTTATGAAATGTTGATTCAGATTTCATATATACTAAAGTCTAGTACACATGGATCAAATTTTGATCTGTGTGAAGCTCTCTCTGTTCAACAGAAGACGGTTCTTAGACCAGTTTCTGCAGAATGGTCCTGCTGGAAAACCAGCATTCGATCAGCAGCTGCAACCAATAGCGGCAGCACTGATCAGAGTATTCTGATGGGAGAAGTCCCTACTGTCAGAATATAATAGCACAGCAGGGAAGATTCCTACATCCATATAAAAATGTATAATTTTATTGTTATCAAAAAGTCTAAAAGGTACATAATTGTTAGCACACCCATCTTAACTATCATTAAAAACAGCTTTATGGTGGGCAACACTGTGTAGGTTTGGTAGTAAAGCCACAAGGTCGCTCTCTCACCCTCAGTCTGAATATCTCAGACCAAGCCTAGTGTGGTGGAGGTGCCCTTAAGTGGCTTACCATGTAGCCCCTAGTAGGCAGTCAATTTCTAAGCAATTTAAATTGGCAATTCACCTTTGCAGGGTCATTATAGAAAGTATAGAAGGGTCCCTTAAAACAGCACTCTTTTTTTAGGCGTAGATTGCCCTTACCATATTATGCTCCTTTTACTTATTCACCTGGCCACATGCCATTTTTGTTAGGTACTTCAGTATTATGGAGCTGCTTACTTAGGGCAGTGTTCTAATTGCCACAGAGTGCTTTGCTGTTAGGGATACTAAATATAAGTAATTACCATGAAACTACCTTTGTGTTTAATTCGTCCTTCACTTTGCCTATTTAAGACACCCATTGATAGAGGTAATCAGTTATGGGTACTTAAGGCCAATATTTGGGGGATCATTAAGCAGGTAGTTCATGTATGATCGCCAATCCTGCAAGGTGCTTTTTTACCAAATGGAGTGCAACAGTAGAGTTGAATCATCAGCAGTATTGGCTAATGAGAAATCACACAGATAACATTATATGTTATTACATGCAAACACTGCTATGCAACAGTATATAACCTGAATTAGGGAGTAGGTGATCACCCCTAGGAATAAAGTAGCTGTAATATTCATTGCATAAAGCAACATAAAGTTAGTAGCATACAAGTATGTCCATCATGGGAGTGCATTTAGCTCACTGCCAATAGTAACTAAATATTACCGACCTAGCACACGTAGGCTGACAGTATGTCATTGCAAGAGATCAGAACCCCCCTTTTTTGTATATCTGTATTTTGGTTACGGTGACATCACTGAACACAGTGAGCTGGCAAACCAATCAGATTAGTGGACATATTTCTCTTTATTCAGTTTGATATTCCTACATCCACAGGGCTTGATCCGCATCATCATGCAGAGTGATTTAGGTGCACACAACACTTACACTGAGAATTTGTGATGTAGCATGAGGCCATTCCGTTAGCCTGAAACTGTCCTTTTATCTCAATATTGCCCAGCTTTAGGACAACTGCAGCAATTTCCAGGATTGAAGTAACCTCAGTATCTTTGAGTCCAATAATTTTCATGGCATCCTTTTAAAATAAACATACATATCATCACTTAGTAAATGAATGTAGAGACACACTACCTGGATGAAATCTGAGACGTCTTTGTAGCTAATTACATGGAATTTGTTGGAGAACTGTATCTGATAAATTCATTTAGTATCACAGATGAGCATCCCTTCCCTATGTATTGCATAGACGCAGCTAAAATTAAAATTTCTTCTGCAGGTAAAATCCAGTATAGCAGAGAAACAATGCTAATACATCTGATAAAGGGTGTTCATCTTTTTAGAAAGTACCATTCATGATATGTACATAATTAAGATTTAGATACAGCTAAATGACCATAAAAAAACATTAAATGAGAAGCATGGTCAATGCTCTTTTGGTCATAATTCTCTTGTGCGCCAGAGGAGTGCACTTAGTTCTGCACTCCTGTGAACCAGATTCAGCTGACAGTGGGCAAAAGCCCGCCATAGGCTGGTGTCACAGAGTTGGTCAAGGATCTGCAGGGATCCTGACAATAATGTTGAGATCCACCCATATGCCTGACCGGCAGCTGGGTCTGCCTGTAAGCGCACAATTGAAAGCCAACTGCTCCCGCCCCTCCACAATCTGGTACTTCATATGAGTGCTAGATTAGCATAGCAGAGAGCGGCGAGTTACAGTCACCACTCTGTGCTCAGAGTGGACCCGAGATCTCAGCGATCAGTGGTCTTTGACTGCTCAATTCTCTGGTGTAGAGCTGGTGGGGGACAACTTCAGCATTGGATTGATGCAGCAGCCATCTAGATGAGTATGTATGTTTGTTTTTTTCATTTCCGTACTTCTCTTATAACATAGGGACATAATAAAGTCATAGCAAAAGTATACCTTAACAACTCTAAAATGTTCAGCATCATTCATCCCAGATAAGCTGTTGGGATCCTTATTCAGATAAACATACTTGCTGCAGTCTGGAATCAACTTAAGTTTTCCTAATAAGTAAAAAATAGATAGATCATAGTATAAAACTGAAAGTAAGGAATATTGGTTAATTTATTGACATGAGCATTGATGCACAATCACCTTATATCTGACTGACTGTTAGGGAAATTGCATGATCGCCTTGTACACTGCACTACTAATAAATAGCAAAAATGTCTAACAATTTTTTTTTTACAGGCAAGGTATGAACTATGAATGAGGGTGAACTACTTTACGGATTTTGTTTATAAATATTGTCAGTTTTCCATCACTAAGCTTCTTAGTTTATCAAGTTGTTATACATTTAGACAAGGAATGTTGTAATGTAGATATAATTGTTGAGATCTAGCTTCAAATCCATTATGTCAGTATCAGTTCTTTTTTTGTTGAGATGTAGAAATTTTAGAAATAGGCAAATTTTTTTAATCAATATTTTCCATGAAAAAAAAATGTGATCTTGGATAATCTATAAACAGGACCATGAGTTAATGTTTAAATCTTAATGTTTAAATATGTGCATGGAGTTTGTATGTTCTCCCTGTGACTGCGTTGGTAACCTCTAGGAACTCCGGTTTCCTCCTACACTCCAAAGACATGCTGGTAGGTTAATTGGCTCCTGTATAAATTTGCCTCAGTATGTGTATGTATGAATGTGAGTAAGGGATCTTAGATTGTAAGCTCCTTCAGGGTTAGGGACTGATGTGAATGTACAACATACACTATATTGCCAAAAGTGTTGGGACTCCTGCCTTTACACGCACATGAACGTTAATGGCATCCCAGTCTAAGTTCGTAGGGTTCAATATTGAGTTGGTCCACCCTTTGCAGCTATAACAGCTTCAACTCTTCTGGGAAGGCTGTCTGCAAGGTTTTAGAGGGTGTCTATGGGAATGTTTGACCATTCTTCCTGAAGCGTATTTGTAAGGTCAGGCATTGATGTCGAACGAGAAGGCCTGGTTCGCAGTCTCTGCTCTAATTCATCCCAAAGGTATTCTTTCGGGTTGAGGTCAGGACTCTGTGCAGGCCAGACAAGTCCCTCCACCTTGAACTCGCTCATCCATGTCTTTATGGACCTTGCTTTGTTTACTGGTGCGCAGTCATGTTGGATCAGGAAGGAGCCATCCCCAATCGGTTCCCACAAAGTTGGGAGCTTGAAATTGTCCAAAATGTCTTGGTATGCTGATGCCTTAAGAGTTCACTTCACTGGAACTAAGGGGCCAAACCAAACCCCTGAAAAACAACCCCACACCATAATCCCCCTCCAACAAACTTTACACTTGGCACAATGCAGTCCGTCAAGTACCGTATTCCTGGCAACAGCCAAACCCAGACACGTCCATCGGATTGCTAGACAGAAAAGCATGATTCGTCACTCCAGAGAACACGTCTCTATTGCTCTAGAGTCCAGTGGTGGCTTTACTCCACTGCATCCAACACTTTCCATTGCACTTGGTGATGTAAGGCTTGGATGCACCTACTCCATGAAACTCTCTATGCACTCTTGTTGTGCTAATCTGAAGGCCACACAAAGTTTGGAGGTCTTTAGGTATTAACTCTGCAGACTGTTGGCGACCTCTGCGCACTGTGCGCTTCAGTGTGCATTGACCCCGCTCTGTCATTTTACGTGGCCTACCAATTCGTGGCTGAGTTGCTGTTGTTCCCAGTTGCTTCCACTTTGTTATAATACCACTAACAGTTGACTGTGGAATATTTAGTAGCAAGGACATTTCACAGATGGACTTATTACACAGGTGGTAGCCTATCCTGGTACCACGTTTGAATTAACTGAGCTCCTGAGAGCGACCAATTCTTTCACAAATGTTTGTAGAAGCAGTCTGGCCTAGATGCTTGATTTTATACATCTGTGGCCATGGAAGTGATTGGAACACCCAAATCCAATGATTTGGAAGGGTGTCCCAATACGTTTGGCAATATAGTGAATATGTAAAGCACTACCTAAATTGATGCTGCAATATAAGTACCTGTAATAAATACATACCTAAATAATAAACTCCAGACAGGTTTTTATATCTGTTTGTGATTCCACCTATTTCCTCTCTTCCTTTCCTTTAAAGCCTATACAATAATTTGATGGGAAGGCATGGACAGCAAAAATATTGCTTAAAGTTCTAACCCTTCCTTACTGTACTAAAGGTGTGTTTTTCAATGTGCTCCTTTGAAGAGATTTCCAATCACTTTCTGACCTGACAGGCGGCATAGGCTAAAGCACATACCATATTTACATATACAGTACATATCATTACATATATTTACCCCACGTTCAGTCAGGATGGTGGATAAAATCCTCCAGACCCTGACAAAAAATACATATCCTAGTACTGCAACACTTTAATATGAACACCTACTGAACACATAGATGTTTCACAAAATAAGCTTCAATTCACAAAGTTTTAAGCTACGGATAATATTCTTTAATTTAGCCAGACTCTAATTTTCAAATCTCATGGGGCTTAGATAAAAATAACTGTGAGGTTTTTTTGTAAATGTGTACTTATTCTGATGTGTTAGCGTAATTGAGCCTAATAAAAAAAATATAGTCATGAGAGATTTATCTAAAAACAAACATCGGTAAAATCAGTCAGTATATGCAGTAAAGCATGCTTGTTATACTCACTGTGGAACCTAAGGGGTTAATCCTCTGCATTACGTAAAAGGTTTGATCCTGTCTTTTCTGCTCCTGCTCTTCTTCAAATGTCCACATCTCCTGATAAGATAGACTGAACCCGTTGCCATTCTGCATATGCTCATGTATTGCTAGAGAGGTTTTCTTTTTCTCTTGGGAGAGTGCATGTGATCAGCACAGGGCCAATCAGTACTGTCCAGACAGAGTTCAAGGGAAAAGATCGGCAATGTAAGGGATGGGGTAGGTGTGTTTTTGGGTTTTATTGCAACAAAAGAACTTTTTCATTTTTTTGTATAACTGGTGGCAGAGCCCCATTATCTTCCAGCCCCATTATCTTTTGATCTTTTCCCTTGTAAAGTGCTAAGACTGCTGAACAGTCTTCTGCATCCAACACACATTCGGGTATGTAAGATATGTCAGATATCTGGTTCCCTTGTGTGCTTTGTGGTGTCTTCTGATGGCCCCTAAATCACTGCAGGACACATTAGTGATATAGGGGTTGGTGGAAGGAACCACAGTGTACAACAGGGACAAGGTATCCAACACACCCAGATGTGTGGTGAAAGCAGAAGATTCCTCAGCAATCTTAGCGCATCACAAGAGAAATTACAGAATAATTTTAATTAGATTTCAAGTGTTACTAAACCCAGGACCTTGCATTCACTACATCTGGTCTCCCACAGTACACAGAACATGAAAATGCAATTATTTTAGTAAATACAAACCGCTAAATACCTTTTCTCATCAGCAGTTAGAGCGGTCTTGTGGCTTCTATCAGTGTTCAGTCAAGCACTAGCTAAAGCTTGTAGGAGTAGTTTTCTTTCTGCTCTAGAAGGATGCAAAACCCCTGAACTCTGTCTGGACAGTGCTGATTGGCCCTGTGCTGATCACATGCACTCTCCCAAGAGAAAATAAAACCTCTCTAGCAATACACACTAAACTGAGCGTGTGCAGAATGGCTACGGGTTCAGTCTGTCTTATCAGGAGATACGATGTGGACATTTGAAGTAGAGGTGGAGCAGAGAAGACAGGATCAAACCTGCAGAGGATTAACCCCTTAGGTTCCACAGTGAGTATAACAAGCATGATTTACTGCATATACTGACTAATTTTACTGTTGTGGGTTTAGTAACACTTTGGATGGCACGGATCAGGCCCTATAGTGTTTGTTAATTCTGCTATCCTACACCACTCCATGTACTACGAGATTGATGCTCCTCTACATTAGTAAATGGAATTAATTGACAATGCACTTGTTTTGGGGTTCAGTTCCTTACCTAGAAGTTCAGTGCCTCCTCCTGCCAGAAGCTGATAAAATATATGAAAGTTTCTTTCTCCTTTGACATGTTTCACAACCCGAGATTTCTCTAACAAGTCTGCATGAAGCATACAATTTTTATCAGGAAGGTCA